GCTGCTGGGGGACTCCTTTGGAAGCCTCTGGAGGTCAGTCTTGTCAGTGAGGTCCTCATGCTTCCAAATCCTCCCTGTCCCATCCTAATCATCCAAAGCTTTGACATCCAGGGCCTTGCTGTCTAGGGACGGGCTGTCCCTGCCAGGGCTGGCCACTTACTAGAGATGGCAAACAGCTGCCTCTGGGGCGACTTTCATATGCAAACAGACCAATCCAGATCGCACCCTCAAGCCCTCCTTTATACTCCTGACCACTATCACGTGCCCTAATCACCTCAGGGCTTGGTGCACAGCCCCTATGCCCCAGGGCCTGCTGACATTATTTGAATGAGCTGATCCTAACCCTGCTTACCCAGGCAGAAAGGGTTCTCAGTACAGTTTCTTCCCTCTTCCCCACCTCCTGCCTGATCTTGCTGCTTCCTCATGTCTGGGGTCCCCCCCTTCTTCCCCCTCCCCCGCATGGTCTATGCCTTTTCTCTTAGGATCTCATCCGTGAGTTCAACAAACTGTACTGTGCTCTTGCCATTCCTGGGTAGTAAAAAGGCTTACATCTTAAAGTGCGTATCTAAATTGCTTTTTAAAAAATCACTCTGGGTGTGAGTTCACTGGCTTCATTCCCAAGCCTTACCCACCTCCTTTAGGTCCTGGAGGCATTTTGTTCTGTTTGGTAAGGCAGGGGCACACTCTGTTGCAATTCTGCTGCTCAGTTTCCCCAGTTCTGGGACTATAGGCATACGCCATGGTGCCCAGCTTTCTAGGATGGGGCCAGGAGTTGAACTTGGGCTTTCCATATGGCCTCACCCTGCAGGGCAGCAGCATCTTCGCTTGTGCCACTGTGGCTGGGCCAGTCCTGGCAGAGGTGATGTGTGTGCTCCTGAGAACACTACCTTCAGTCTGGACGTGGACTGGAGGCACAGGCTCTTCTACCAGGGATGAAGTTCTACCCTGGGAGAGGAGGCACGTGCTCACCTGGCCTGGGGGGATGCAACCATGGTGGGTACTAAAGGTGCCCTACGGGTGTCCTATGTCTCTAGCATGATGGTAATGTCAAGCCCAGCAGCATCCCCTG